CACATACCTGTCTATCAAATGGCATCTAGTCAGTCTGGCTTTCATCAACAATCCTTCTGGGGAGGTTGAGCCAGAAGCTTCCTTACTTGTGTTTCATGCTTTTCTATTAGCATTTTCTGATTCTCAGGTCACTCATCACTCTTTGGCTATAATTGCAAGTTTTTATTCTCCATTACAATAAACAATTAAGTGCTACTTGTACCTGTTATATGAGCCCTGAACAAAATGTTCATGAGTAGTCATGATTGAATTCATCATTGAATATATTCTTCAATATCTGAAATCAAGCTTACAAGGTTTAAGAAGAGAAAATTGTCATACATTAACTGTCAAGTGTTACTTCACAGTATCCTTTTATTTTTTTAGGACTTTTAAACTTATTTTTTTGAGATAATATAATATAAAAATGTAATTAGATTATTTCTTCCTTTTCTTTTCTTCCTCTGAAGCATTCCATATAACCCCCTGTCTTAGGGTTTTCATTGCTTTGAAGAGACACCATGACAGAAGCAACTCTTATAAAGGATAACATTTAATTGGAACGGGCTTACAGATTCAGAAGTCCATTATCACCAAGGCAGGTGCATAACAGTGTCTAGGCAGGCATTGCATGGGAGGAGCTAAGAGTTCGACATCTTTACCTGAAGGCCACTAGGAGAAGACTGGCTTCCAGGCATCTAGGAGGAGGGTCTTAAGGCCTACCCCCACAGAGACACCCTTCCTCTAACAAGGCTACATCTCCTTCAACAAGGACATATCTCCTAATAGTGCTACACCCTGGGCCAAGTAAATTCAACCCGTCTCTTTGCTTTATTTTGAATTCCTAGCTTTTTTCACTAATGGTTGTTACATACAGACACACACACACACACACACACACACACGCGCACAAATTTTTATATACCAGAAGGCAACATTTGAAAATATAAGCTGCTCAGTCTCGGTAATATTACTAGTACAAATTTTTTCAGAGCTGACCATTTGAAAAACCAATAGGTGTGCTCTTCTCTGGGAAAGACTATTTCTCCTGCTCTCAGCATTCTTAGTTGCCTACCGAACTTTGTATATTGCTGAGGCTTTGTGGTCTTTCTCCTGCTCACTCTGGCAAGTCTGTTGTTATTATTCTTACTCAGCTCATGCGTAGACAGTCATGTTTTTGAGAATTTATAGTTTCTGACATTACTAAAAGATATAATCTCAAAGGAAAGACCCTCATTCTCTGGGTCTTAAATTCATTTTAGAACCTGTTTCACAATATTTCCTGAGCCTTAGGTATGGGTTGTTCTTTAGATGTGGGCATTAGGACTAGGCTCTCCAAATCAGCATTTTGATTGGATGATGTTTGTTTGTAATAGTCTCTGTATGTTGAGAAGTTTCTTTGATAAGGGGTAAGAAATACACTTATTTGTGAGTATAAGTACAAATATTTAGAGTGGTGGTAGAGATTATGATGGCTTAGTAAAGCAGTGGTTATAGATTCTCTTCTAAAATCTATAACTTCCTTCACCCTGTGTAATTGGCTGGGTTTCTGGTACTAGACATGATTTTCTTCATGTTGAACAGTTAAGTCCAAAGAGAGCTGTTGGCTATGAACTAGGTATAAATACCTTTAGGGCTATTGTACAATGATGGTTGTTGCTATGATTGACATCATAGCTGGGCATGACTGTTGCTTGCTTCCCTCCTTTGGAAGCTTGAATGCTACCTTCTGGTATATAAAAAAATAGTCTCCAGGGATTAGTTATGGATTTTTCAGATACTTTACTGTTATTTCACTCTCCTTTTCTTCAGTGCTCCTGAAGAAATCAGAGTTTTTCCCCTTTCCCATTTTCCACTGATCCTGCTTGTACTCTGTTATTCACTGCTCTATTGCTCACACTTCTCTCTATTCTGCTACGCCATCAATGGTCCATTTTTTAATCTCCTGGCTTCCGTAGTTTTTTCTCTATACTTGGAGAAGGGAGGAGATGTCAGGGGCAGCCCTGCTTATACACTGAAGGCCTAAAATCAGCCACAGGCCTAAAATCAGCAATAGGCCTGTCATACATGTATACTAACACCAAGTCTTGGGTCTCTGTGGAAAAACATTGAAACAGATGGCTATATGCTCTTGTAAACAAGCAGGTTTTGTGGAAATTTACCAGCCTGAGTAGTCATAGACCTTGTAAATAGGTAGCCTTGGCAGATAATACCAACTTAGATAAGGACAAGCAAGTCATACGCAGAGTCATAACGACCTGTGCCCTGAACCTTTACCCCGCTGTTACCCTGTTCTGAAAGATATCTGTATTCACCTGAACACCCATACCTCGATGTGACATAACTACTTCCATGTGAAGACTTGAAGATATGAGTCTTTGATATGAGAAAACACACCACATTTGCATTTTAGGTCTGGCTTACCCCATTCAACATGTTCGTTTCTAGTTCCATCTATTTGCCCACATCATTTATGATTTCATCTTTTTATAAGTGAATGGTATTCCATAGTGTGTATATGTACTACATTTTTATTATGCATTTGACACTTGAAGGACATTTAAGTTGTTTCCATTTTCTAGCTATTGTGAATAGAACAGCAATGGATGTGGCTATTCAAGTATTTGTGGAATAGAATGTTGAGTTCTTAGGGTATATACCAAAGAGTGGTATAGCTGAGTTATATGGCAGATTTAATTTTAGCTTTTTGATAATTTTTTACACTGATTTTCATAGTGGCTGCAACTGTGCCTTTCACCTGGGTTTCTTTTCTTTCCTTTCTTTACTCCTATTATTTTTATATTTGGTTTATTTATAGTATCCCAGATTTCCTGTATAGTTTATGCCTGTTATTTTTCAGATTCAATATTTTATTTGGCTAAGGTATCCATTTCTTATCGCTTTTCTTTAATGTCTGATACATTCTCTTTATCTCATGGATTCTGTTGGTGTGGCTTGCTTCTGAGAGTTCGTACAATTTTCATTTCAGTTTCCCCTCAGCTTAGGGTTTCTTTAATGATTCCCATTCTAGTTTTGTGTCTTGAACAGTTTCCTTTATATCATTCTACTGCTTGTATATTCATAGATTTCATTAATGGCTTTATTCCTATCATCTTTAAGGTCCTTAAACATATTTGTAATAGCTATTTTGAAGCCCTTTTCTTGTCCTTAGGTTACATTGCATTTCCCAGGGCTTATTATAGTAGGCTTGGTGTGCTCTAGTAGAGATATATTGTCTTGGCTGTTACTGATTGTATTTTGTTTGTTTGTTTGTTTTGGTTGGTTTTTCTGATATCTGGGCTTGTAATTATGGTAATTCTGAGTGCTGATATCTGTTTTCATGTTTGTTGGGTGGATATTCCATTCCTTGGTTACTGTTGCAAATTCTGGTTTAGGAGAATGTCATGACAGAGTATTGCCTGGTTCGGAATATCTCAGAGATCCTGCCAGGCATAACCACTGGGGGTCTTGTATAGACTGTGTTTCTAGGTATTCCTAACTGAAACTAAGGAATGAGGATAGGATAGGATAGGATAGGATAGGATAGGATAGGATAGGATAGGATAGGATAGGATAGGAGGGGGACAGTTTGAGGGGTTCCACAGGAGGTAGGAAGCTGTGTGTGCCACTGGGATCTTTATAGACTACTGGAAATGGGTCAGAGAAGGAGTGGCCACAGCAGATAGTCTGTTACAAAGCTTGTGGTGAGACTGAGAGACTAAAATTGGAGGAGAAGAGTGAGAGTGAAGATGGGTGTCTTAGAGTTACTTTGCTGTTATGAAACACAACGAACAACTGCAACTTGGGGGAAAAGGCTTATTTCACTCACATTTTCATATAATAGTGCACTATCACAATTAGTGAGGATAAGAGTTCTTTTCTTTTTAATCATCATTATAAGCATCATTGTCATCATCATCATTATTTTTTTTATACCTTCTTCCTTTCCAATTACAATGTCTTTAATTTTCTTCTCTTTCCTTCTGCATGGCTAGGGCTTCTAATAATATGTTGAATAGAAGCTGTAAAAGTGAAATTCTTGTCTTGCTCCTGATCTTTTTATTTTCATATTTTTATTGGATATTTTATGTATTTACATTTCAAATGTTATCCCTTTTCCGGTTTCACCTTTGGAAACTCCCTGTCTTTTCACCCTCCCCCTGCTTCTATGAGGGTGCTCCCTCTCCCACCATTGCCTTTAATCCCAGGAGATAGAGGCAAGCAGATCCATGTGTGGCAGACACCATGCAGGAATAGTTGCAGTGGGGAAGTAAACTTCCTGAAAAGAAGGCCCACCATCCTGAAAATGAAAATTCTTGAGATAATGCTGTTTAGATGAATTAATGATTCTATGGAATTTCTGACTTGATTTAAGTAATTAAAAAGGAGTTTGGTTTGATTTAAATAATTTTGGGAAGTTAGGATAGTTGTTAGAAAATATAAAGTTAGGAAATTAGGATAGGTGATAGAAAGTTTTAAGTTGGAGTTAAGAATAAAGTGTGCCCTTCCCTGATAGAATGACAAAAGCTACTTGAGTTAAAGAAAGGACTTAGAGAAAGTGATTGTTCATGCATTACAAAAACACAATTGTACAGGTAGGAAGAATAGGCTTAGGATAAGCTAACAATCAAAGTAAGCACACACTCTGAGTTGAGCCTGAGTTCCTTGATCTTGTGATCTAGGGATGAGATAACAGGTTTTCGGTGTGTACTAGGAAATAATAAAGTTATAATGAAGAACAAATAATTCTGTGTGTAAAAGCAGAATTCATGGTTACCAGCTTAGTTAATCAGGATCTCAAAAATAAGACATAAGAAAGATGATTTGCTTTTTAAAGTATAAGTTGTTGTCAACCAAGCATAGGAAGAAGGTTGTTACCACATTCTTGGCTTGTTTAAACTTTGTTAATCAGTTACTAGAATTTGCTGCTTTGAGGTCATTTCAAGCTTTGGGGAAGAAAGATAGAAGAGAACTGTTTAGTTAAGATATAAGTTTCAGCCTCAGCAAGCAGCAAAACTCAGCAGCTTCGGCCATGTAGCTCTGGCTTTAGAGTCCAGAACAGAAGGCACTGCTGGGGCATTTGATGTTGGTTAACTGGAGCTAAGAAGTTAACAGTGTTAATAGGAAACCAGCATCAGGGGATTTAAAATCTTCTGGGGAGTGTTTTCTGAGAACACAAAGAAGCTATGTTCCAGAGATAGGTAAGGTTGTACCTCATGCTGCAGCTGTACTTGGTAATGTATAAGAATCACACAGGTGATAATTGGTTTTGAAGGTATGACGGGGTGATGTGTTCTGTACAAGGAAGGCTAGAACCAAGCTCCCAGAGATGAGGCTTGGCACTGTGAGATGCCAGAGAAGGCCATTGGTGTAGGTGCAGACTCAGTTGTAGTTAACAGCTCAGGATTAAACAGGGTCATGCAAAAAAGCTGAAGGTTTCCGCCATAAATGGAGCCCAGGATAGGCTATTGGTGAAGTCTACTTGCAGTGAATGAGTGGAGATACCAATACCTTGGGATGATCACCAGGAACAGCAGCAGCAGTGGAGTGGAGTCAATCAGAGCCTAGAATGCTACAGAGGACAGAGCCAGAGAGTAATACAAGCCCTTTGCAGAAGTCCAGAAGGTCATGTATGGATCCAAGACATTGGAATAAGACACTGGGTCAAGGAAAGTTGCTAAAAGTGAGTGGAACTAGCCAGAGAGGATTTTGCTGCAGTAAATAAAGCAGAAATTAGTTGGAGATCTAAAGACTGCTTTTAAGATTGAGTTGCAGAATTTGGAGTTTGCTCAGCTCGGTTTTGGTCTTACTTTGGTCCAATATTTCCTCCATCCAGCCCCTTGATGTATTGGAACCATAATGTATACTATATATGATGTTAGAGATATTGTGGTCTGCTTTTTGATTTTGATTTTTTAGGGGATTACAGTTACAAGATGTGTGAATCTCAGAAAACACTTAGAGCTTTGGACTTTTAACATTGTTGAGACTTTTATAAACTGTAGGTTGTTTGAAGCTGGACTAATGTATTTTGGATTATGCTATGGCTATGTATGACTTCCATAGACTCATATGTTTGAACAAGCCTGTGGGGCCCAGGGAGGAGAATGTGGTGCTTTGAATATGCTTGCCTTAGGGAATGGCAGTATTAGGAAGCATTCATTGTTGGAGTAGATATGGCCTTGTTGGAGAAAGTGTCAGTGTGGGAGTGGGCTTTGTGTTAGGAACCTTTTAGATTTACTGTTTTCTTTTACTATTGTTTCAGTTTCTTCTATGATATTTTATATGCCTCAAAGTCTCTCCTCTATGTCTTATATTCTGTGGGTGATGCCTGTATCTGTAGTTCCTGTTCACTTACCTAGATCTTCCATCTCTTATGTTCTCTCACTTTTTCTTTTCTTTATTGCTTCTATATCCATTTTCAGGTCTTGAACAGTTTTATTCATTTTCTTTACCCATTCATTTGTGTTTTCCTTTTTTTCTGTAAGGGATTTGTTCATTTCCTCTTACAGGGCCTTTATCATCTTTAAATGATTAGATTTAATGTCATTTTCTTGTGCTTTAGCTGCACTGAAATATTCTGGGCTTGCTGCAGCAAGGTATCTAGGCTCTGAGTGGATCTCTTTATATGATTAGATTAAGGTCAATCTCTCCTGCTTTGGCTTTATTGGAATATTAAGGGCTTTCTGTAGTAAGGTATCTGGGCTCTGGTAGTGCCGTATTGACTTGGTTATTGTTGACTATGTTCTTAATCTGGCATCTAATCATCTGGGTTTGGAGTTATTGTAGGTTCAGGTACTGATTTCTGACTTTTTTTGTGTGTGTTGGATGTATGTCCTTTGGATGTTTTCTTTTACTTCTGTTTTTTCTTTGTTCTTTTAGCCTGAGTAACCTGTGGTCCTGGTGACCAGTGAGTTTTGAGATCCAGTTGTGCATCTCCACTGGGTTTTGGCAGCTTGTGTGATATCTGGGGTTTTGGGAACTCAAGTTGCCTCTGGGTTTCTGGGAACTGGTATGGTCTCTTAGGTTCTGGATACTGGTGTGGCTTCTGAGGTTCTGGTTACCTGGGATTACTGGGGTTCCTAGTACCCAGATGGTCTTTAGTACAGTGAAAGTCTTCTGCTAAGGTTATAGGCCAGGATATGGAGCCCAGGAGAGGGGTGGTGTTGGGGACTGTTAGGCAGGGTTTAAGGGGTATTAGCAGGTGGTGGCTGGTATCTTACCTGGGGTTTCTAGTACATGTTCTGGGATATTGGAGTCTTCTGCCCTCCCCATGAATTTTTAATAACATTTAATTAAAGTAATTTAGTTGTACTCATACATTTTTATTTTGTCATTACTTTTTCTATTTTGAAAACATCATTTACTTTAAATGAATACTTATTTAACTATATGGACCCCTTTCTCATCCTAAATTATGTCCTTTCAATTTTAGCATACTCTTCTTAAAAATATGATCAATATTAAAACTTCTTATATTTTATGCTTCATAGTTCTGGCTTCATAGTTCTTACAGAAATTTTGAATTAAAAGGTGTGTTGTTTAACAAAATAACTTACATTTTAATCAAAATCTCAAACCTGTATGTGAACTGTAGACAAAGCATGTCAAAGGTACTAGAGATATTTGTTGTTGTTTTTTTTTCTTATCAAGAAATTTAAACTAACAAACTTGTTAAGATTTGGGTCTTATTATAATAGGTACTCTGAAATTGTTTTTGGTAAAAAAAAAAAAAAAAACCAGTGACTGACAAGATAACCAAAGTTAGAATAAAAGTCTGGTATCTCTGGATTCAGTCTATGTTTATCAATTTTCTTTTGGGTCACCTGCTTTTTTGGTCAAACTCTAAAGCATCTTCTTAGGTGTTCTTACATCCTCAGTTTATTGGTTTAAAATATGAAATTATAGACATGTAAGTGACAAACCAACAGACAAAATGACATAAACATAGTTAAATAAATGCCTTAGTGATCTATGGATATGATAAAATCATGGCCAAAAGCAACCCAGAGAGGAAAGAGTTTATTTCATCTTTCACCCCCAGGGCATACTCCATTGCTGAGGGAAGTCATGGTGGCAACTCAAGCAGGACAGGAACTTGAAAGCAGGAACTAAAGCAGAAGCCTTGTAGGTATGTTATTTATTGGTTTCTCTACGTGTTGTGCTCAGCCTAATTTGTTATAGGATTTAGGACCACCTTATCAGGGTTGGCAACAGCTATAACAGACTGACATCTTCTAAATTAATCAAATTAATCATCAATCGAGAAAATTCGCAAGCTTGTGACAGGACAATTAGACAGGGTTATTTTCTCAGTTGAGATTCCCTTTTCCCAACTAGCTTATGTCAAGTTGACAAAAAAAATAATGATAAAAAGAACAATAAAATAACAAGTATCATGTACTCAGAGTTAAATAACACATAAAACAAGTACATTAAATCAAAGTGCGTTCTTAGCTGGAACAAGGTTGGATCTTTATGATTCGAGATATAAAAGTGGTTTAATGAAACTCTAAATGGTTAAAAGACGAAGCATTCAGTGTTTTAAGAGATAATAGAGATGACCCCTTATAAACGGAAATATCTAGAGAGTCAGAAAATCTTATTTTGTATATCAATAGAATGATCTGAAATTGTTTAGCAAATGCCAGAGAGAGAGAGAGAGAGAGAGAGAGAGAGAGAGAGAGAGAGAGAGAGAGAGAGAGAATAGAGTGTCCCAGCATAACAGCAAGAATTATGGAAAAATAAATATTCCCCCATTTAAAAAATTCTTGCAAATTTCATTATCATAATTATCAAAGAGAAAATTGTGGGAGCACCGAGTGGTAGTTTTTTCTACAAGTATTTTCCTATTCCATAAATTTCTTTTTCCATTTTAATAAACTTTTAACTCTGAAAATTGAAATATTTTATTTAGTTGCAGGGATTTGAGGTTGGATCAGATTTATGTGTATAGGAGGAGTTAACTTAGGTCTTTCCATTGTATTTCAGAATTGATTTTTTGTATTTATTGGAATGTGAGGTTGTTCTAGACTCTGGGTGATCACATGTTTTCTTAGTGTTCTATTCCTGTCAAGAGGTATCATTATTACAGCAGCTTTTATAAAAGAAAGGATTTAATTGGGGCATGCTTATAGCTTCAAAAGTTGAATTCATTATCATCTTGGCAAGGAGCATGGTAGCACACAGGTAAATATGTTGCTGGAGAATTTGAGAGTTCTACATCTGGATCTTCAGGTAGCAGGAAGACAACTTATTTCTAAGCAAAAGGAAGTGGTGCCCTTCAAGCTATCTATGGATACATGAAGTGGGTCAGAAACAGATTTTGATAAGTTTAACTTGACTGAAATGATGTGGCTAGCTTTGTCAGAATAGGGATACTCAAAAACTAAAATTTCTCTAAAATTACACCCACTTGTCTTAAAATCCGAACATGCCTGTCTCTACAGATCAGGCGTGTTACAATAGATCCTCTCAATTTCTTGAACCATTTAAGTATTCTTAATTTCATCTTAAATATATTTTTATGTAAGAGCTAATAATTAGGAAGCCCAAATTTGGGATTTAGTATCTCTAACATAATATCCTTCTTTCTCCATTCCTGTACTTTATATAATATTCTCAAACATCCATTCCTTCTAACATTTGCTATGTTTTCATCTCTTGATATGAAGGCTTAAATAAGTATATAAAACAATGTAACAACTGGTGGTTTTGTAGTCTTTGGCATTTTTTGTTTTCTTCTTTGATACATCTTTTGTGCGTCATGTTGAATAAAGAAGATATCAGATAGGGTTTTCTGAAGGATCTTTATTTTTAATTCTATGAATGTCCATGGACTTTTAAAGGCACCCTGTTACTGGTTGATATGTAGATTCTTCAAAAAAAGATTGGGGGCAAAGCAGTTGGTGGCTGGCAAGCTTTTAGGCAGAGAAGGTAGAACAAGAGATTAATTTTGGAAAACAGAATCATATTATGCCAAAGTAAACAGTAAACAAGCAATGATTGATTCAGGTCTAGAGAAAAAGGTTGTTCTACTGAGAGCTAAGAGTTATGGTGTCATGTGGTTTCTGGCTTTCTGCCACTTGGGAAATCCCTTTCCTGTTTGTTCTCACTAGTACATTCCATTTACATAGACACAGATGAAATAGTCTGGCTCTATTACTAATCCTGCAGCAGTTGTTGAGTAATGACCTAACATTGGGAGAATACCCTGCCCTGTGAAACCAGGGCTAATTAAGAAAGAAGCCTCAGGACCACCCAGATGTTTTCATTGTCTTCAGATGCCAAAGAACATGTGAATTGTACAACCTGATCCCAGCAACCTCATCAGAACTTTCAAGCAAACTTATGCTCAGAATTTGACTTCTTGTGCCAGTTTCAACACATGGAAGAATATATTGAACAATATTCTAGCTGTTACTCTCATCTCTGATGAATTGGAATTACAGGCCTTTGTTTTACAGAAACTGGTTTCAGCCTCAGTTATTCAGAGAATCTAATTTCTGATTCTGATTTAACCTAAAGAACCATGGCTGATTCAGGTTGCCTTCTCAGTGGCCTCATAGCAGTTGCCATCTCATTAGTACTGAGGAATGCTCATTCCCCACCCCGCCATGCCTCAAATCTGTAAGTTTACTTTAGGCTCTCCTGAGTTCTACTGTCCTGTTTGTCTATTGCCATGATTGCTATTTTTAATTTGACTTTCTTTGATTTTGTAGGCATTTCCTGAAGTAATATTTATGGATAAGTTAAAAGGATCACAACTGATGTCTTGATTAGGACTCACCTAAGCTTATCTAGCTGTCTGAAACAAGATTTGCCCTACCCATCATGCACTCTAGCTCCATAGTTCAGCTGTTTTACATTGCAGATATGTGCTGGTTTTTGACCCCAAAGTGCTAGAGGCTGTCCATTTAGCTTAAAACTTGATCCTTGAAGTTGTCTTCAATGACTGAATGTTTATATCTCTAACAAATACATCTGGTAAATTTCTAATCTTCAAGGAAATGGTGGTAGAGAGACAATTAGATTATGAGGAAGAATCCCTTCAGGTGAGATTAATGCTCATGTATGGAGAAACAGGAACAAGCTCCCTCTATCTTTTTCATGAGGGTGCAGAAGAATAGTGACATCTGTAAATCAGAAAGAAGCTTCATCCAGATACTGGATGTATAACTGCCAAGGACTTTCCATTCCCAAGACTGAGGGAAACAAATGTGTGTAGTTTAGTAAACCCAGTGTTGAAAAAATTCCTTCCAGACAACTAACTATATGTAATTCTTCTCTAATTGTTCCTGGCCTTGTGATTTTGGGAGATGTTAATAGTATGCTAGAATAAGCAAGTTTAGAATGGTTAACTGAAAGGGAGCTCCATCTATATGGGCATGAGGCAATCATTGTCCATGGAGAGTCACGACTTTCCAATGTAGCATCTTTATGGTCACATATTCTCCTGCAAGTAAGTCCTAGTACATGTGTTGTTAGTAGGTACAATAAACTCACAGATTCTTCAAGGTGAACTATTGTGCAGGACTTGTCTTATGGCTTGTCTTTGGGGATACATGTACCAGTGAGTGGTTGGAATACCAGCTGATGGCCAATAATCTTCTCAACCTCCTTTTTCTAGGAGTTAATATTTATAGTCAACAAGTCATGAGTGAGTCCCTTGAAAGTAGTCAAAACTGTTCTGCTAAAGATGGTGGCTCTTTTGCTCGGAAGACAGGGCTGGACAACATAGTATATAATGTTCTTGATTTGTAACTGCTGTTTATTTCTTGAGCCAGGATATTGATCTGGAGTTTTGAATTTGTAATCCTCTTGTAGCAGCCCCCTCTCCCTTCTCTCCAGCATTGGATTAAAGGTGGTTACAATTATACTTGGCTCAGCTTGTAGTATGCAATGTGGCTTCCTGAAATGATAAAGATATTACTCTTTCAGAATCTTCAGTGATTCCAGTTCCTACACTTCTAACAAGAAGGACCAGTCCTCATGTGTACATTTTGTCTAGCCAGAGACTGCAAAGGGCCAGGATAGGGGATGGGGGATCACGCAAAAGGCTTAAGACACAGCACAGCTGTGGGGTATGACTGGAGTTGGTACAGGTCTGAGATTTTTTTTTTAACATACAGTTTTTCTCCTTTAAGTTTAAATTCCCTAAAAGAAAACACCACATTTATATTCAGGCTCTAAGTAAAGACCACTAGTATGTGGAGAGTCTCAATAAAGATTTGTAAACTAAAAGACCCTGTACTAACATATGAACCCTGGGGCTGGAGAGATGCCTCAGTGGTTAAGAGCACTGACTACTCTTCCAGAGGTTTTGAGTTCAATTCCCAGCAACCACATGGTGGCTCACAACCATCTGTAACGGGATCCGTTGCCCTCTCCTGATGTGTCTGATGACAGTGACAGTGCACTCATAGACATAAAGTAAATAAATATTTTTTAAAAGGTATGAACCCTGAAAATTAGCTATATCATGCCTTGTAGAACTACAATAGGGACTGTGAGTTTGTCTCAACATGTATGCCCACATGACACATTCTAGTTTCTATTACTTCAAATGTCCCACAGGTCTGCAGCTAGAGTGTCTCATGGTGGTTTGGAAAGCATGCTTTAGAAAACAGTGGCACAGGCCCAGAGAAACTGCTCAGAAATTAGGTGTATGGCTGTCCTTGAAGAAGACTTCTCTCACTTTGGAGTTTTGACAGCTTCTCTGAGTTTGTTATCTTGCAGAAGGAAGGGAGGAAAAGTCAACATTGTCATCATGAATACTTTCCATTTTTGCCTAGCTTATGCCACAGGCATCTACTTTTGGCTACAGTAGTACATCTGTAGTTATTTTATGTATATGTTTGTTTTTGGAGAGGGGACACTGTTTTTCTAAGGGAGACCCTGATGGGCATCAACTTTTTTAAGGAGAGGGGTTGACCATGTGGCCTCAGGCAGCTAGCAGACTCTGTTTAGAAGGATAATTTTGGTTGGAACTAAGCTGTTGAGAGGGGAAGATAGATGACTGATAATCATTTGATTAACTGAATTGTTGGTGGAGAGGCCTTGCTGGAGGGAGGTCTTTTTCTGTACTTGGCATCTTTTCACAGAGTTTGGGGGTCAAAGGTAGCAGAATTT